TCGGAGTAACCTTTCTGAGTCTTGTCATCCTTATTTTATTGAGAAGGAAATTAATATTTGCAACTTTACAGGGTGGTTGTGAGGAAAGCTTTTTCAAAACCTTAAGTTACTAAAAAAAAAAAACTAAAACCCTAAATTGCTGTATAAATGCAAGCTATTGTTTTTATTATTATTTGAGAGAGGGAGGATTTGAACTGAGGTCCTAAAACTACAACTCCAGGGCTATTTTCACTGTATCATGTCAGAATTCACACTACAAAGTCATTTATTTGGGATAGGGCATTGTCCTCCCCAAACTCAAACTAAAATGTCATCGTGTTACCTAGGAAGGGAAACACTGACCTACTGTCACATGGGATGGGGCCCGGGCTGCTGATTTCATTAGTATAGGGAATTCTTGGGTTAGAAACTCCTTCTCTATCAGGAGAAGCCAGTGACTTCTCTATCATGCTGGTTTCTCTGAAACCTGATGTCTTAGATTGCTGCTTAGAACAACAAGGGGTTAAGTGCCTTGTCCAGAGTCACACAGTCAGTAGGTTTCATAGGCAGGCTTCTGGTTGGCTCTCTATCCACTATATCATGCTATCTGTGTCACATGAGCTTGGATAAATTTAAATAGTTATCACTAGATGACACATAATCTGAAAGCTCCAAAGGACCTTAGAGGTTATCTAGCTCAATCTACTCTAATAAACATTTATTAAGCACCTACTATGTGCCAGGCACTATGCTAACTGCTGGGGACGCAAAAAGAGGTAAAAGTCAGTCCTTGCCCTCAAGAAGCTTGTAATCTAAATGGGGGAAGGGAAGTCAACATGCAGACAAATACATATACAAAGCAAATTATATCTAGGATAAATAGGAAATACTTAACAGAGAAAAGGCACTAGAATTAAGGGGAGTTAGGGAAAACTTCCTGTGGGAAGCAGAATTTCAGTAGTCACTTACAGGAAGCAGGAGAAGTCAGTAGTTAGGGCAGAGGAGGAAAGGACAAACCCTTTCATTTAATAGATGAAGAAATCTAAGTCCAGAAAGATTAAATGACTTACCTCAGGCCACAAAACAACAGCATTAAAGTGTTCCCTATAAGGTGGGTTGATTTTTTAGCATGTACCTACACACATATCTATGTATACATATATGTGTCAGTGTGTGTGCATATGTATTTATCTATCTCTACTTCTATATTTGTAAGTACATTTCCCTTTCAAAGGGATTTTTTTTTTTGTGAGGCAATTGGGGTTAAGTGACTTGCCCAGAGTCACACAGCTAGTGAGTATTATGTGTCTGAGGCTGCATTTGAACTCAGGTCCTCCTGCCTCCAGGGCCAGTGCTCTATCCACTGTGCCACCTAGCTGCTCCTGAAAGGGAAGTTTTAAGGCTGATTTTAAGGCTAAAATCTTTACTCAGGGCTGCCCCATATTTGGACCAATTAGTCTCAGAGCCAGGATTAGAAGTCAGGTCTCCCGACTGCCAGTTCAATTCTCTCTCCCCAACACCATGCTAGCACTATAGGATATAAATATTTTGATCACATTGGGGGTAAGAGGAAGGGTAATAAGAAAGGTTTAAAAGATCATACACTGCCTGGGAAACAGAAGTGCCACAGAAAGTGAGCATGAGAGCTCTAGGTACTGGAGGGAGATAAGAAAGGATGAGAAGCTCTGAAATAGAGAGGATGCTGGTAAATTCACAATTCCACCAAGTGCTGGTCTTCAGTGGTTTGAGAGCTGTGAATATCAGAATCAGTCAGTCAGTCAACAAGCATTTATAAAGCACCTGTTATGTGTCAGGCACCGTGCTAAGTGCTGGAGATACAAAGAAAAGCAAAAGACTGACCCAGTCTAATAGGGGAGACAAGATGCCAATAGTTATGTACAAACAAGCTATAAGCAGGATGAATGGGAGAGAATAGAGGGGTTAGTAAAGCAGAAAATGAGGTGTGTAGGGGGGTCCTAATATGGGCTGCAAGGTGCTACTATTAGCACAATTATGAGGCACAAAGAACTGGGTATCACTAACAATCAGCATGCTAAAAAAGACTCTGCAGAAGGAGACAGAAACGGAGCTACCACATCAGGGGAACATTATGGCCAAACTTTAATGGAAGACCAAAGGTCGGAGAAAATGAGAGACATAAAAAGGAGTCAAAAGTTCAGGGAACCTCGAGGAACTTGGTCTGGAGGATAAGCATCATATTTAATGTGATGTAGGTAGGTCTTTGTAGAAGGGCTGTCATCTCTGGGCTGGTAATGGAATCAGGGTCTATTTAATGCCTTATTTCCCAGGCATGTGCCTCCTCTGTAACCCCAGAGGTTGGGACCAAGGCCAGCTTTCTCAGGTTAGGGTCACTGTGCCATAAGAAAAAAACAAACTAAACCAAACCATAAATTGAGAATCACACAAATAACAAACAACCTAATTTAGATTTGTGAAGAAAGAAATGGAAAATATTTCTTTTACTCACAAAATTTTAAAGTGAACCGAGAACAGAAAATTCTACTCTACAAATACAATATTTTATCTAGAATGTGGCCAATTCCCATTCATTCAGTCATATATTAAAGTTCTACTTTGTGCAAAGCACTGCTTTGCCTTTCCTTCCCTTTGTTATAAAGTTTAAAAACTACTTATTTCTATAACTTCAATAACATGTCATTAAAATGTAAATATATAATATATTTAATCATAAGTGTAGTTTTAGGTAGATTTCTTAGTATTGATGCAACTAATTGTAGAGGTGGTGGTGGGGTAGTGGAAAAAGCTTTGAGTGAGGAATTCAGAAGTTTCAGTTCTGATCTCAGCTTTGCCACAAGTATCCTGCATTACCTTGGGTAAGTCTTTCTCTGGGCCTCATTTTCTTCATTTGGAAAATGAAGGGGCTGGAAGGATAATTTCTAAGGCCCCTCCCAGTAATAATGTGTATATATGGGGTCCCTAAGACCATTTTGGGGGTGGTCTGCAAAGTCAAAACCATTTTCATAATGTTTTAATTTCTCATGAGATAAATATCAGTTGATAAAACCCATATAAATAAAAGCTCTTTGAGAAAGTCCTTAGTAATTGTTAAGAGTCTAGTGTAGTGCAGGCACCAAAAGATTGGTACAAAAAGCTATATGAGGTCAGAGGAAGGGATGCATGTCTGACAGGACAGGTGAGGGGAATCAGTTTAGATTTTAGTTTAGGGTTTTTTTTAAAATAAAGGTTTATTCTTTCTGAAGCAATTCTGAAATTTGCATGCAAGTCAAAAATGACAGGTTTTAGAAATGTGTTTTAAAAACAAATCAGTTTAGCCACCTATGCCATCAAATCCTTGTAATATCCCCAAATTGCCTAATTGCTTTACCTTTGTTGAGTGTCAAGGCTGCCTGTTTTACAGTGCTTTAAAGCTCGACTGAAATTAGGATTCATTTCATTTTTCCACGTTATGTTCCCCGCCCCTCATTTTTTGTCTTGTTGAGTCTTACTGTGCATTACTAAGAAATCCTCAGTAGAAAATCCTCTTTTAGGAAAAAGCAGTTTGCTGTTTATAGCTCTTCAGCTTTTTTCAATCAAACCTCCAGAGGCTTCATTTTCAATAGGAGAGCCACAGCGACCCACCAAAACCAGAATTATTATCAGGTTTATTTCGCTTCTTTCTACGCTTGGTAAATGAAATTTAAACTGAGGGCCAGATTTGATTCACGGGCCAAAGATTTCCTTCTCTTGCCAGACTTTCACAAGATGGCTACATGAATTGGGTAGAGACCTTGGTTTCCGGAGCAGATAGGTGGCACAGTGGGTAGAGCATTGGTCCTGGAGTCAGGAGGACCTGAGTCCAAAAGCAGCCTCAGACACTTGACAGGTAGCTATAAGACTTTGGCCAAATCACTTAACCCCGATTGCCTCGCCAAAAAACAACAACAACAAACAAAACACACAAAACCTTGGTTTCTAAGCTGCTTGGATAAAAGCAGATGTGTTGGTCACATTTCATGTGGCTGAGGGAGGGATGGGAGGCAGATAGGTCAAGCACGAAGGGGATGGATCATGAAGGGAAACATCTGTACTGAAGAGAAGGGACTAATGAGCCAAAGAAGAAGTGGGGAGCAGTAGTAGGTGGGCAGGAGGCGCTCAGAGACTGGCCACATGACCAGCAGCTGCCCAAGCGCGACGACTCTGAGGTTCTCATCAGAGCATTGGAGACGGTGGTAATGCCGAGAGCGAAGAAGTCTCTGCTATCTACCATTCCCAGGGAACACTGCAAGCCTCTGCCCGGAGGCTGCGGGCCTCTGTTCCGAGGCACCAAGGAGCTAAGCTACCTTACATTTCTGCAGCTGGCCTAGTGATAGAGAGTGACTGATGGTCACTAATCAACCTGTTAGCCCAGTCAAAATCTGTGGTGGCAGAAGATGGATATGGGTGTGGGGAGGTGGGAGGAGGCAGGGCAAAGGAGGAAGAGTAACCTGAAGCTATCTCTGGCATCGGAGGGCTGTGTGTGTGTGTGTGTGTGTGTGTGTGTGTGTGTGCACGTGAAAAAAGTGTGCAACCTCACAACATCAATCCTAACAAGTTTCTATCCTTTGCAGCAAAATCTGAGGTAATGTGACAGCTGCCTGTGCAGATTTGTTTTTTTTTTTATCACAAAAGACTAGAGGAGCCAAAAAAAAAGGCAAATATTAATTCATTCTTTGTATTTGTAGACTCAGAGTCTAACATAGTGTCCAGCACGCAGTAGATGCTTAATAAATGTGTGTTGTCTCATTGGTTGATTGAAGGAAATTGTCAAACATTAGATGACCAAACATGTACAGGAGTTAAACAGGCAGGCAGGGAGGGAGGCAGAGCTGTTCTATGGCAGTGGGATCAAAGATGAAGCTTTTTTGGAAGGAGAAGAAAAGGGTCAGAGTGGGATGGGGAGGAGCCGGGGGAGAGATAAAAGCCCTATGGGGTTCAGACTTCCTGTCCAAGGAGCCATGATGAGTTAACAGTATCCAGAGTCATAACGAGGTCACAAACAGGCTCGGGATACATAGGCTAACTATTTAGCAGAGGGAAGAAGGAAGAACCAGAAAAAGGAGGAGGCCAGGGCACAGTCCTTAAAAGGGAGAAAATAAGCCCAGAAAAGTGATAAAGGTAGGAACTAAACTGCTGTTTGTTCAATTTAACATCTAATATTAATAATAATGGCAACAGAAGCTCATAGTTTCTTATACACGCCTCTTTCTCATCATTCTTTGTAAACAAACATGTGTGTTTGTTGATGATTAAGCTCATAATGAAAAAATGAAATTTTTATTTAAAAAAAAGTGATAGTGGGAAAAGAAACCCTAGGCCTATTGGCTCTCCTCTGGGATAAGCAGGTAGGCTGTTGTTTTGGGATAAATGCTGCTACCTCTACTCTTCAATTTTTCCTCCCTCAGGAATGAGATAATATATGCAGTGTTTTGTAAACCTTAAAGGGGCACATAAATGTCGTTATTATTGTTGTCGTTATTATCCTGAAACTCTACTAGTCAGCACTTTGTAGGTGTGATTTTGTCTGGATCTGCATTTTGTCTGGGAACATTACCTTCAGCTCCAAGTCTTTGTAAATCTGGGGCCGCAGAAGGCTGAGGAGGTAAGAAGCTCTGGAGAATTTAAAACCTAGAATAGAAGCAGATGGAGATGAGTGCAAGCTACCACTAGCATTCTCTTCTAACCACCCCCCAAACCTGCTCGGGCTGCTCAGGACTGACCTGGGATGAGCTCTTCAGTGACAGCAGCGCCTCCAATCAAGTGACGTCTCTCTAGGACAGCTGTGTTTACCCCCAACCTCTGCAGATAGGCTGCCTATAGGAAAACATACTGTGTCCTTCCTCCATCCTTTTGTATAACTTGGGGCTTTGATGAATGGAGTTGATGTCCCATGAGTATCCTGTTCGATACTGGGTGTCCGAGGTGATGTCCCAACCCCTCTTAATTCCAGTGCCTTCCCTCTCTTAATTATTTCCTATTTGTCCTGTATATAGCTTGTTTTGTATATATCTGTTTACATGTTGTCTTCCCCATTAGATTGTAAGCTCCTTGAGGTCAGGGACTTTTTGCCTCTTTTTGTGCCTTTAGTGCTTAGCACAGTGCCTGACACATAGTAGGTGCTTAATAAATGTTGATTGATAGATATCCTGAGAGACCAAAAAATCTCTGATGGAAACTTTAACCTTTAGACAACAGACTGGGGCTTCCCAAGTCATTCATTCCCAAGCCAGAGGTCAGCTCTGGCTCCATGGACATGGAGGCTATAGCCTGCATTTCTACACTAGTCCCCTACATCTGTAAGGCAGATGACAAAACCTGGACTTCCTGGAAGCTGGCAGATGCTTTCTTGGGTCTTCATTTACTCTGAGCTCAGACAGTAGGCTGATATTCTCAGGGGGTAAGCTTGGAGCTAGAAAGTTAATTCTATTGGGGTTGCTCTTCTTCTTAGAGCCAGCATGAAGCTGGACAGCTGACTGCCCGTTTCTAGTGGGATAGAGGTATTCCTTCATACCCAACACCCAGTGCTGACATGGTAGAGAAGTGGTAGCATAGGCCAGGTCTGCAGGAAGCTGGCTGTAGAAGAGTCCTTACTCTGTGAACCACAGGAACTATTAGAATAATCTTAATTACCCTATTTCCAACCAGTGGGCAGGAAAATAAGAGGCAATGACTCAGTTTCTTTGAGTCTCTCCATAGCTCCTAGGCTGAGTCCAGTAACCATGGCAACAGCAAGAAATGTGAAATTCAGTCCGACATGTGCTAGGGCTCCTTAACCTTGATTGCTTTCCAAAGCAAAGAAGCTTGGTACTCACAAAGCTGTAGGTAGCTGGTTCCCAAGCCAGCTCTCTGCTCCAGGAAAGGACGGCTGACTGAGACTCCAAGTTCTAGGCAGCTCCATGCTATCAATTTTTCTGTGCCCTACCATATCTCTCATGTGGGATTTCACAAAGAAACCACTGTAGCCCAAAGCAAAGTCTGCCCAGAGGACATTTCCAGAGACACATTTCTACCCCATCACAGGTTGTTAAAACAAAAAACCTAGGACTGTCTGTGTCAAAATGGGACATCTACCCACCTTTGGATAGCTCTAATTCTTGCTTAGTTTTTTTGGGGGAGGGGGTTGGGGGGGTGTCTTAGAAACCAATTGTGAGCGGTCAGGAATCCCTGAAACCTCAATGATATTTGGAGTCCTCAATTATATCTGTTGATACTCAAAGGTATTTCCTACAGATTAGCATAAACCCACTATAGGTTTATAGTTTATAGTTTCAGGTCAAATCCCTAACTGCTTTTCTATACTTTCCCTTCCTTCTCACTGTCTGCCCTTCCTGTCCATCAGCTTGGTATCTATCTGTATCTTCCACTGAGTAGTCTAGGGACGATCTGCCTTCAACTCTATTTTTCATAAGGAAGAAAGAGGGAACAGAATGCCCTAAGCCATACCACTTCTCCTTACCCCATACGCATTCCCTACGAGTCTGGGAATTTTTTATCTGAACCGCCCGGTGCTTATCTTTTGGACTAGAGTTTAACCCATTGTCCAAGGGCTGGCTTGGCAGTTCAGCACCCTATGGAGAATCCCATAGACTCCCAGCTAGCCATGTCGTTTCTCTTATTGGATTCATTCCATCTTCTTCCTTTCCCTTTAGCTCAGCCTTACACAACTGGAGAGGCCTTTGCCTCGGTGCAGGGTGAAGATGGTTGGAGGCAGGTGGTACTCACTGCAATCAGTCCATTGTGTCCTGCAACAAGAAGGTGGGAGAGGGGAAGAAGAGAGAGATGGATCAGAAGACAGTGAAGCATTGTCCTCAGGGATTCTGCTGGGCTGTTCTTGGCCCAGTCATCACTAAGAGCTTTAGAAAGTGACACACTCTCTGATCTCCCATAGCCCTAAGCCAAAGACAAGAAAGCTGAGTTTCAGTTCAACCCTCTCATTTTACAGATGAGGAAACTGAGGCCCAGGAATGACAAGTGACTTGGCTAAGGTCCCCAAGTAAAGAACGTCAGAAGTGGGATTTTTCAGAACTCAGGCCTTATGATTCCATAACCTTTTTCACTGTACCTTTCTGTCTAGGTCCAACTCCCACCTAGTATGCATTTCTAGTATCCCTTATGCTGGGGGGATGAATGGAGAATGGGACTACTCTTGGGAAAATCTACTTTCTGGCAGAGAATGGCACCCCTTTTATCTTGAAGTGTGTTTGGTAACGGTTCCCACATCTCCATCCAACTCCAGAAATTTGGATAATTTTGCTGAATTTTTCCCCCTTGTGATCAATATTTTAATTTCTAACTTCTTTTTTAATTTGAAAGTTATGAGACTAACCTCATTTATCCTATAAATGTCTTGTTTGTACATAGTTATTTGCATTAGACTATGAACTTCTTAAGACTAGGGCCTCTGTGTGTGTGTATGTCTATGTAGGTATAAAGGGAAATGATTAGAAGAGGTAGAGACAAAGGGAAAATAGCATTTCCAAACCTCAAACTATATTATAAAGCAGCAGTCCTCGAAACCATCTGGCTAAAACAAACTAGATAGAGCAATGGGTAGAGCAATATTATGTATTGTATATACATATATACGCACATTACATACATATAATATATGTACACATACACACACACTGATAGATGCCATATAACTTCATGTCATGATCTGAAGAATAAGCACTGATCATCCACTTGGTTTTACCTATATGGATGGTTAGGTCAAATGCTACTGAGTGATTAAAGACAAAGGTGTGCTTTTAAATATTTAACAGCTATCTTTTTAAAAAAACGTACACAGGATACACTCAAGTTTAATCTGCATTATTAACATTTTTTCCATCACTTTCTTAAGACTAGACAACCAACAAAACAATAAAGCTAGCCCTGATTTGTAGTATTTGCTGATTCCTGAGGTGTAAATGCTCACAGTGAAAATCTGAGCTCTCTCAAGCCCCTTCAAGCTGGCTCCATCATACCCCTGAATACAGACCTACAGACCTCTTTGAGACCACGTCAAGACCTGCAGTACTCGAGGCTTAATGCACCCAGAATGATGCCATCTTCAAAAAGGGACATCTGGAGGACTGTACTGTTTAACTTCCCTAGGGAATCCTTCTTTAGCTTGGACTCCTCACTGTATTTCCTCCATGACAGTGGTGAACTCCTAAGGTGACCACACATCTCTTTGTTTTATGTTTGATATTAATTTGTTTTTTACTATTGATATTAACAGTCAAAAAAAATCAAGAAGATTCTTTCTTTTGTAATATCTTCAAAGGATCTTGAATAATTTGATATATGGATGGGAAACACCTGTTGGAAAAGAGTCCATTTTTAAAAATAACTTTTAGTTGCTGTCTTTTGTTTTTGTTTAAAAAAAACCCACCATGATTTCCCTCAGTATACCTCCTACTTCCCTCCCAGAAAAAAGCCTATAAATATGTGCAATGATCAGTAACTGTGGACCTCTCGCCTCTGCAAAGGAGTAGGGTGGAGGTATCATTTCAAAGCTTTTCTTTGGAGCTATGCTCTTTCTTTATGACTCTGCAACATTCACTTTTGATTTTCTTAGTGGATGTTCTTTCCACTTACAATGTTGCAGCCATTGTGTGTATTGTATTCCTGGCTCTGCTTACTTTACTCTGCATCAGTTCATGAAGAGCTTTCTGTGTTTCTCTGTATTCATCACATTATTCAGTTCTTATGGTATCCCGTTACATTCATGTAGCACAATTTGTTTGGCTGTTCTCAAACCAAAGCCATCTACATAATTTCCAGTACTTTGCTATCACCAAAAGTACTGCTATTCACATTTTGGTGGACAGGGAAGCTTTCTTCTTATCAACAGCTTCCTTGAGGTATGAGCCTAGCAATGGAATCTTAAAGTCAAAGGGAATAGATATTTTAGTCACTCTATTTGTATAATAATATTTGCTTTCCAAAATGCTCGTCCTGATATCCAGCTTCACCAGCAGTGCACTGGTGTGCCTATCTTCCCATAACACCTTCAACGTTGATTATTACTATGTTTTGTCATCTTTCCTAGTTTGCAAGGCGAGAAGTGAAACCTCAGGGATGCTTTGATTTGCATTTGTTATTTTCTTATGGCCCTTAATAGTATGCAA